ATCCCAGGAGTTTCCTCCATGAAGGACACTCCTGGGATGTTTGTTTCCTCCAGAAAAACCGTTGACATCTGGGAGTGTCCTTCATGGAGGAGATTCCTTGGATATATGCGGACTTGTAGTCCGAATAATATCCAAGGAGTCTCCTGCAGAATGTAGACTCCTTGGATATCTGCGGACTTGTAGTCCGCATATATCCAAGGAGTGCCCAGCAGAACAGAGACTCCTTGGATATATTTGGACTTGTAGTCCGAATATATCCAAGGAGTCTCCTGCAGAACAGAGACTCCTTGGATATCTGCGGACTTGTAGTCCGCATATATCCAAGGAGTCTCCTGCAGAATGGAGACTCCTTGGATATCTGCGGACTTGTAGTCCGCCCACATCCAATGAGGTTTCTCTCCTTGGAGGTTCATTGGATGTGTGCGGACTGCATTTTGATAACTTGAGGATGCTTTGGATGGCATTTGGATTGTCTTTGGATAGTTTTTCTGGATTTGGGGGATATTTGGATGTAAACGGACTAGTTCTTGCTCACTGGGTAGTCCCAGGAAAGCTTGTATCCCTTTGATATCCTTGGGTAAAGGGAAATGTTGGATTGATTTTACTTTCTTGGGATTTACTTTAATTCCTTCTTGGCTGATTAGGAAGCCAAGATATTTGATTTGGGTTCAAAAAAGTTGACACTTGCTGAATTCAACTTTTAACCCAGCTTTTTCCAGTCGTTGTAATATGTCATTTAGATGTGAAAAATGATGTTTTTAGTCCTTGGAATATATTACAATGTATATGTAGGCGTACATTCCTAGGCATCCGTCCAAGACCAAATTCATTAGTCTTTGAAATATGGAGGGGCTATTTTTTAAACCCATGGGGATGAATGAATTCAGTCTGATGAATTCGTAGTGTCCAAGGGGTGTTGAAAACGCGGTTTTCCATCATTCTTCTTCACATATTTTTAAATTGTAGAATCCGTGGAGTAGGTCCAAAGCGGTGAAATATTTGGCATTTCCTAGTTCCTCAAATATTTGATTGATCCTGGGGAGAGGATGGGGATCCGTTATGACATGATCGTTTAAGCTGCAAAAATCAACCACCATTTGCCATCCTCTGTCCGTTTTCTTCACCATAAGTGTTGGACTGTTGTAGGGACTTTTTGAGGGACGTATGATTTCCTTGTCCAATAGTTCTTCCACGTATTTGGCCAATAGCGGGCGCATACCAAAAAGTATTGGGTATTGTTGAGTATATATGGGGGTAGTGGTATCCAGTGGTATGTCCACTTGGTATATTTCACATAAACCTAAATTGTCCATCTTTAAAGCTAGTATTTCTTTGTATTTTTGAAGTAGTTGTCGCATTTTTGGTATCAAATATGATGGGCATTCTGACTGTTGTAAATTTTCTTCAATGAGCATATAAATATTCTTCTGTTCGGATTTTCCATGTATCCTTTCCTTTGACGTAGTTTGGTTAAGTGTCCTCTTTGGAGGAATATGTACAAAATATGATGCAAAAGCCAACATATGCTTAGGCTTCAATATGATGTCTTCATTGGTTAAGTTGAGGCATAAAACATACACTTGGTTCTTTTTTATTCTTGATAAACTTCTTCCAATGAGCAGGTCAGGTTGATGACAATTATATATAAACACGTCTGCTTCTATTTTGGTGGATCCTTTGGTTGAAGCAGATTTTGTTAGCACCATAAGTTGTGAAGATTTTGATACAATAGTTGTTTGAAGCGGATATAGTCGAAATTTGTCTGCTTCTTCTAATTGTTGAGACAAAGCAGTGGCAGGCAAGTGTTGAAGTATTTAGAGCAAATAATTTTAATTTTAATTCACTCAGGGCTCTTCAACAATTTGCCCGTTGGAGTTTGTGCCTTTTGTTTCTGATTGTCTTAGAAGAGACCGCATATTGTACTTTCAAATGAAAACCACCTTATTTTGGGTTTCATGCAGGTGATTTAGTACTTCATACATACAATGTGGTTCTAATACATACAAAAAAAGAGGGAAACAGAACAAAAAACACATCAGCACATATTTTCACATGGGGAATTACGCGTACGCCGCCTTTCAGGATTTTTAATTCAAGAACCGCTGAAGGGATTTCGCCGAAATTTTTGTACACGCTTGCCAACAATGTATTCTTTGTTCATTGAAAATTTGGATGCCCTAAGGCAAAAATTCGCGAAGATACAGACATTCTTTTGGGCAAAAAACTGTACGAGATTCGCGAGTTTGTCAAACTAAAAGTGAAATTTCTCCAAAAGTTACAAACACAATTCAACAAAAATTGGGGCAAAGTTGGGAAACACAATGACGCACCAACACGCAGATTTTCGCTGGTTTGTGTCAATTTTTGAAGATTTGACAAATTTTTTTTACAATGCGCCGATTCACACAAAATGACACTCCTAGCCTGGGGCTTTCTGGGGGAAGGTGTTCTTTGGGAGGAATTTGAAGTCAAAGTGTGGAAACTGGCGGAAACTGACGATTCTCCCTTCCCAACAGCTGGAGCAGCTGCAGGAAGCAGTTACTCAGGGTTTTGCCAAGAAGGGGGGGTACAGAAACATGGCAAAGTTCAACGCCCTTCCGCCCCCTAGTCAGGGAAGGTTTATTTTTGTCCCTTCTTCCTGGGGAATGGAAAAAACCCCAATACCCAGTCTGACAAGCAATGTTGTCTACAAAAATTTTCTTTGTACAATGATGTTTTTTTGTTGTTGGTCCCACAGGTTTCTATCCCCATGTTAAAGGGGTTCTCTCTACATGAATTTTTGTCAGGTCCAAAAGAGAGAGAGAGAGAGAGAGAGAGAGAGAGTACACCTGCATCACAAGTTTTCCAAGGAATTGCAATTTTTTTCTTCAAAAACTAATTGGCATAATCATTTATGTAAGCCTCAACTTTAGAAGAGAAAGGCAATATTTACAATTGAACATTCTGACAACAATAAAATGGTAAGCCCTTTTTTGCACACACTTTAAAAGCTGTAAGAAGTGCCATATTTCCATGACTCTCCAAAGAGAATGAGTCATACTTGTTGAGGAATAATTTAATTTTCAGTCACTGGCAGATAAGAATCCCCCTGATCCATAAATTGTGGCTCGCATTCTCTTATTTGAATCAATCTCAAATGATACATATACTGTCAAAACTCTCCAACAAATTCCAAGGAACCTGTAACAAATTTAAATTTGGGATTTTCCATTCAGGGAAAGAATGCCTTTTTCCTTGGGGAACAAAAGAAGAATAAGCGACAATTTCATTTGACTATATTTGGTGACTTTAAATTGCTTCTTGAATGAGTTGACAGGATGCTGACCTTGGAGGCAAGGGTTCATTTGCCCATTCAATCTTTCACTTCCTCTCAAAACACTTCAAGCTACATTCCTATTGCTTTTCTCTCTCCAGTGCCCATAAAATAACATTGGAACGGCGTCCAGAATTCCAGTTATGGAGGTTAGATGGGAAAGCTTTCAGGTTTGGGAGCTTTAAAAGGGAATTAAGACAGGGACTTGAACACAATTCCACATCATAAGGTTATCCAAAGTCATCAAGGTTAAACTGTATAATATCTCAACTTACCAACAGGAATGCTGCTCGCCGAAGGAGGACTAGACTCAATGAGTTTCGCGACAGTAGCGCTGAAGAGGTCTCCCAGCGACTTGGGGATCTTGAACTTGCTCTTCATCCCGAGCACATCAAATTTGTACAACAACCCGGCCATCTTCGTCGCAAAGAAAGAAGAAAAACGACTGACGAAAATGAACAGAAATTTTCCAGAATAAATCATGACACTCACAATTCCACAGAAAGCCCCGATGGCGGAGTTGACACTCGTTCCGACGACTTGGAAACCTAATAGGTACGTGAATGTTTTCGCCGTGATGGGAATGCCCACTAAATGAGTCCCAGCGCCTTTCGGTACGTCGTACCAAAAATACACGAAGAGGGGAAATACTAAAGAATATCTGCCGAAAATAAAACAAAGAACCGATAATTACGCTCGACACTACAATATTTTTTTTCGCTACGTTAATTTTCATTCAAGAGAAACGCAGGTTGAATCATAAATCAAACTTGAAAGATTATACTCACGGTCCGGGTGGAAGAGAACCAATCTTATCCGATAGATCCGGAAGAACCGTTTTGACGGCGTGTACCGTGAACAATTCCATAATTGTTGAGATCGTCGACGTGATAAGAAGGAACGACGCGAACTTTTGACTGCCGAAACGCCGCTCGAAAATCCTAAAAGCGAAAAATTCCCCGTATAATTCAATTGTGAACTTCGAAATATTTAAGAAACGGGAACAAGGACTCACCGGAAGTAGTAAATAAGAATAGCGACGCAAAAAATTTCCTTCGCGTTTGGGAAAGCCAACCGCGACACTAGTAGTTTCCAAACCTAGAAAATTAAATAATTGTACACGAAAGGATTTACAGTCTCGACGAATCAGAGACAAACCTGACCACGAAGAATGACATCAGAGGAATCGCAAAATAAATACTTCTGCAAATGCGACGACCACGGAACGTTGACGGCCGTCGAGGACAAGAATATTCCACCGAGCAATGCCTTCGAGACGGTGGCTCGATCTGCCAAAAAGAATTGACATGCGTCAACAAATTCACACATATTCCCAGATAGATTCAGATTTGTTTTCCTCAACTCACGGAACCCAGTGGCGCTATACTGCGACAGTACAGTAGCCATTTCCCAATGACATCAGCGAACAACTCGACAAATTTCGAAATTTAGCCGCATTATAAAATTATTCCACAAAATTGCCTGAATCAGAATACAGTTGAAGGGCAGAAAAATTAATTATTACATTGCATAACCTCGAGAAACATCCGCGGAACTTCCGCATTAGATAAATTTTGAACAGTGCTTCTCAACAACCAGATTTGCTAGAGGAGATACTGTGCTTTGATGGCATTTAGTAACAGTCGCCGCAAGCGGAAGACTTTTGGGATATGCATTGATGCACACCGGTCTCCTTGGAAATGAATGAATGTTCACGCCTCATAACTGATCAAATTTTCGTGGGATCCCATCACAGTCCTTGCTTTTATTATGAGGACTGTAATGAAACTGCACTGCTAGGTTTCGTCCAGTACTTTCCCTCCAAAGGGCGCATTTCGTGAGACCACTGCGCTCAAATTGTGACTATGCAACTCACAACGAAAGCCGCCATTTGTGTCCGGTCCCTAAAAGCATCATAGAACGCCAACAGACTTCTTGAAGTACGAAACAATATAACAGACATGAACTCAATTTACTGTACTTGGCAATGAATATGTGCAAATTTGTTCTAATCAGCATCAAAATGTGCTTGAGCTGAACACAATACCTTCTTAGCAAATACAACAGCACTTCAGGCTCATATTCGTTCAATACTTGAAGAGGCTCTCACACGCATTTTCAGGAAGGAATAATTTTTCTGACAATCCTTCCAACAAAACCACACACTTCTTATTACTGCTTGAATTAAAAGTACTATATGCACCAACTTTCAAAACACATCCCCGGAATTTTTAAAAAATGCTATACCTGTGCAAGATACAGACCTTTGTAATAAATTACCAAAGTTCCCCATTTATTGTAACACAGTATTCAATTAAAATCTGCCTTCAAGCCCAATTGAAAATTGAATTCGATGCCATCATTTTTGATACA